CTTCTCTGTGGTAATTGACAGCCTGCAACAGATGCTCTCAGTAGAGTTAACCTAGAATATTCCTTTACCATCATCCTTTTAAAAACACAGGGTAATTTATTTTTCATAAAGCTGATTTCCACCATCTGTGTTGATTCCACTTAGCCTTTTTTAGCCACATAAAAGCTCTGGGTGAAAGGTGCAAGTGAATTTCTCTGAGAATAAAACACATGAACAGATCCTATGGCATATGTAAACTCTGCTGCCCTTTGTGAGCGTCTGTGTGTTTAACCAGTTCAATTGTAATCTTTCACTCACACATACTTACATTTAGGAAAGTCTAAGTCAGATGGGCTCAGAACTTCTCTGTCTCCACCAACATGTGTGCTGATTTTGGTTAACAGCAAACCCAGCGAGATGCGAGCAAGGTTTGTAGGGCATTACACAGCATTCCTCATTGATCTCTGAACTGTGAATTAGCCCAGTCCAAACACTAGCAGTAAACACTGTCACTTTGTTTTGCTGGTGTTTGTCTGGCTACTGTACACTGCAATCCGCATGCGGCCTTCTGTTATGGCAGCTTGACTTACACACAACTGATAGAAACACTCACACACGTTTCTCGATTTCACCAGAAATCATGTCTCTGTTTCTCTCACAATAATTGGAGTGGTAAAGTATGTGTTTCTGGTTGTAACATTAGACTGCTCTTGCCCCAGTAAAGCTAATTTTATGACCTTCTCTTAACCTTGTTACCTGTGTAAAGTCTACCATCCACATAAGGTCATAGTACTGTAGGTGGACTGTAGGTGGGGCTGCAACAACTAATCGATAAAATCAATTACAATCGATAATAAAAATAATCGACAACGAATCCGGTTATTGATTAGTCACGTCTGCACGCTGTGCACGGAAACCATCCACCAGTCACTTAGCTTTACAGTAGTGAATAACACATTTCTTTAGACAAAACGCATATGTAAAATAGCGGAGGACACAGAGCGAGCTACTGCGGGGAAAGGTGTCTGACCCAAGTTATCTGAAACATGAGAATGCTTTATATTAAAGGGGTACCTTACCGGTGGCAAAACAGGCTTTCAGTCTATGCAGTAGGACTAGGATGCAGGACTTTTGCTGACAAATAAACATGAATTTCTCAGTCCAGAGAACTCAGAGAATGAGTAAACATGGTTCACTTCATATTCTACCAACATTGTAACAATACTGTAAAGGGGGTTGAAAATCGGCAGTTACATTTGATGCGCTTCAAACAAAAGCATAAGCTTTTACCGCGTCTTGCCCTGCCGTATTTTGAGAAATGCATGTGCTGTTTAATGCTTTTGAGACAAGTTTTCCTCAGTACATAACTTACATTTTACTGTTATATGCTTATCTGTAAATTAGGTCTAAGTCCTGCAAGTATTTCCTTGTTTCATATTCCGACAATAAGCGAGTCTCCGTTAACCTGAACAGAATTCAATAACCAAGCGTCAGTGCGCGTAAGCGACGGAGCGCAGTAGAACAGGAGTGCAATAATTCTGGCTAAAATATTTATTGTAAAAAAAATACAATAAAGTAAGTATAGGTTTAAAATTCTACATGCAACACAAGTAATCATTTTTATAATAGCAGTAAAGGGATTGTTATTGGAATAGCCTATTAGTGTAATATAATTACTGTGTTCAGATGATTTAATCTTTTATTAAATAGGAGCTGTTTTTACAAGGTTTGCTCAGATCGATATCTACACTATTTAACAACAATACTTTTAAATAGTCAATTTTCTGTTCAGATTAAAATAATCGTTAGTTGCAGCCCTAGCTGAAGGTGAAGTATCCAGTCAGATCATCCACACACAAACACTCATTAACATTCACTTACACATTTTAGTATTATTTATATACTATTATAGTATTTATATAGCTTTTATTTTAATATATATTTAGCTTTCTTTTTTCATGTTTTTTTTGTAATTTTGTTGTGCTTTTGTCATTTTATTTGTTTTTGTTTTTTCTATTTAGCTTTAATTTATTTTTCAGTTATATTTGCAAAGGCAACATTTCTAAATTCTAAGGTCTTCATCTAATATTTATATTTTATTTCAGCTTTTATTAACAAAACAATTTTTGTGAACAATTACAACACTGACTCAAATGTTCTTTTCAGGTTACAAACAACACCCTGTTTTTTCAATTCCATTTTATGTTTACATGGTTTCTGAGTTAAAGGCATATGGAACAGCATTAATAACTACAACATTAGAAGAACAAGTATATTTTGTGTAGCTCTTATTAGTGGCTATACTAGTGGCGGTTTGTTCGCCTATTAATAGCCACCTTCTTTTTGGTTCATTAGTCAACAAATGCTCGGTAAACACAGCAAGTGCAAGTAGTCATAGATCACATTTCAAGTTAATTTCAATATCGTTCCATTCACATACTATTTCATCTCAGATTTCATTATTGTTTTGATTTATTTCTGTAATAACTATTTTCTCATTAAACATGGTTTGAGGTACTACCTTCTTTGCCTTCTCTGTCAAACGCCCAGATGCACACATAAAAACACACAAACAGCGTCTGTAGTTTACACCTGGCATACAGGTGTATGGGTCTGTCCTAACTGTCCTGACTAATTGGCAGCGCAAGTGCTGCTGACGGCAATATGGCTCAGTGAGTCTGTTCACCGTCTCTAAGGTCCAGTCACCGCAGAGAAGCTCACTCCCGGGACAGATGGAGTCTGCGGTGTCACCTGCTGACGTCACAACAACAGATACTCCACAGTAGCAGCCTAAGACTCCAGCAGCGCATGCCCCAGAAAGCATCATGGGAAACATTATCGCAAACAGCTGTTCGCTGAAAGGTCTGATGGTATGGGAGAATTTCCATGTGCAGATTTTCCCAAACGGAACCAGGGGGTTTCAAAACCACAATCAAACAGCATATAAAAGAGTCAAAATAAACACAAACCAAAGACAAGTGTGAAAATACGATGTTAACACTTTACAGTAAGGTTAAATTTGTTAACATTAGTTAATGCATACCATTAACTAAACATTTTTAATGCAGTTTTTATAATTCAAGGTTAATTTATACATGTACAATTGCTCATTTATAATTAACAACTTTTAATAACACATAAGTTATACAAAAATGTATTACTATATGTAGAAAAGAAAATTAATTTAGATTAATAAATGCTGAATTTATTTAATCACCTGAAATGATTAAATAATCTAAATTATTAAGGTTTGCTCAGATCCCACCATTTTTATTACTTGATTGCTAAGATTTATCAAAATTACTGCAGATGCATAGGCTGGTCAGCCTATTCGGATCGTTTGCAGATCGTTTGCATATCTGTATAGATGCCAATCGCTTAAACATGTTAACCTTTGATTTTTTTCTGTTCAAGTATATCTGTTCAGAATATTATTACCCATAATAGCTTTATACATGTTAAGGCTCGCATCGCATAGTTTTCCCTATTCATTTAATTCGCCTTTTGTAAAAATATGATCAAATAACAGGACAAAAAAACTAACAAATAGATATTTAGCCAGGTTTTCTAGCAGTTTTTCCCTGTGGGTGGATCAGTGTGTGTCTACCACTGAACAGACTTCATTAATGTGAGGTAATTATGCATCCTCAGTCATAGTGTGAGGGGAAGTGGGGCTATGATGTTAAAGAGTTAGTCATTAATACCCTGAAATAGCAAGTAAGGCACGCTCGTACAACACTGATTCTCATGTGCATACAGGTGGTTGATGTTTAAGCATGAAAGGCTGGAAGTGGGAAATAAATCTCAACAAACAAGACAAAAATCTCTTTTGCAAAGGACAACTAAGCCAGTTTGAGATGATTTGAGCTTTTTTGATATGGTGAGTTATCCTGTTGGAAGTAGGTATCAGAAAATAGGTATGGTCACTGTGGTCATAAAGGGATGGACATGGTCAGCAACAATACTCAGGTAGGTTGTAACGTTAAGTAGGTTGTAGCCAAGACAATACCCTTCACACCATTACTCTACCAGCCTGAACAGTTGATACAAGGCATGATGGATGTTGTTTACTCAATATTCTGACCCTCAAACTAACCAAGAGGAATTGGAACAAAGGGCATTGTAAAGGCAGCCCTGTAGTATAAAAGAGGGGAGATGTCTGATAATGAAAGATGATCATGCAGGTAACATAACGAAGGTCATAAACAAGGAATAACGGCCAATTACACCCCAAAGACAGAGGTGTGACGAGGCAGAAATGCAGGTCTGTTATTGTGGTGGTTTAATGGACCATTTGATGCCAGAGGTTATGATTCAGGGGAAAGGCCGCCTTCTTTTCCTCACACGTTCAATGATCTTGGTTCCTGAGTTGTGTGTGCTTCATTAAGGCTACCACAAAAGAGGCCACTGCCTCCAAGACCATAAAATATTTACCAACAAGCTCTCTCTTTCTCTCTCTCTCTCTCTCTCTCTCTATGAGAGTTAGCCTCAAGAGAGTGCCAGGTAAGTTTACCTATCCGTTCAGGAGTACCACATGATACAGCAGGTTACTAATTTGGCTTCATTTTACATAAATGATGCCATCAACTCTACTGAAGTACGCTCCCACCGGTGAGCAGCTAGTAGTAGCACAAATGCAGTCGGTATTAAATAAAGTCTCTAATCAGACTGCTATACTGCCTGCTTAGATCTAACTGACACCAACACAGTCCCGCACTAGCTTTTACCCAGTAAAATGAATTTTATGACCAGTAATGAGGTTACTAGGCCACATAGCAGACACTTTCTGTGTGGTCTCGCTTCTCAAGTTCTGCTTCCTGTGAGGGAACGGATGGGATCACGCTGTTCCCACTTTTGTGGCCAGCGTAATGAGTTCTACAAAATAAAGGCTACAAGGCTTTGTATGAAAATCCAAAACCAAATTTAACGACTGGTGGTAATCAACAAACAAATGTATTCAACCAGGAAATATAGCCAGGGAAAATGACATCATCAGTAAAAGTCCTGTTGTGGAGACTCACCTTGACGATAGGGTGTCCCCCAGACGCGGCTTTGACAGCCCCTCGGCTGCCTTCGGTCTCATAATGAGCTCTGTGATGAGCTTTGGGGTGAACCTCAATCTTTAGTTCATACTGCCCATACTGATTTGGCAACGGCCAGTCCAGGGGAGGCAGGGATGATACCCTGTACACAGACCAAGAGCAACATAAACAGAGCAGTTACACAATGCATAGTGATGGGTCATAGATATTGTAAAAAATTAAGACATACAAAACAAGATTAATCATTGAGCAGCTATGCAACATTTTAGGATGCATCGATTTCATGTTCTTTTGCTTGTCACAACCACAGAAATTCAACAAATCTTATTTTTCCAGGGTTGGTGCTGGTGCCAGAAACGGTCCCCACTCCCCATGAAAAAGTGCTATGCAAGACTGTGATTCCGGACAAGAAAAACTGGCTTGGCACAGCTTGCATCTGCACCTAGATTCATACAGCTGTGGTGTGTGTGTGCCACAATGCATTTCGCCATATGCCTGTCCACTGAGATACAGGACAAATTAGAAAGTTCTCAAAGAAAAACAAAACAAAAAAGAGTGTATGATCTTTTGAGCTGTGAATTGGATGTTAAAATATGGTTTTAAAATTATGAATAAGACTTGTGATCAAAGACCATGATTACCTTTTGTAAGGGCAGGTTAAATGCTAACAGTCAGTAACATGTAATATTTTTTGTGTTGTTCCAAACACAGAAGAATATTTTGGTAACCAAACCATTTTAGTTATCATTGACTTTTTGTTTTTGTTTGTTTTTACATAAAATAAGACATTTCTAAAAATATCTTCTGTAATGTTCCACAGAAGAAAAAAGTAATATAGGGTTGATCAAAATGAAGGTGAATGAATGATGAATGATGATTTATTTTTGGGAAATTTAAGGATATGCAAAACTACATATTTTCTAAATCAACAAAAATTTTTTAACTGATTTTGTTTTCACAGATTTTCTCTTAGTTTAGCTCTCTAACACATCCTCTTACTTTCCTGATCACCCCTCTCCTGTAATATGACATGTACATGCCCTGCTGTCATGGTAACGTTAGATGGATCGTCAGGGGAAATTTGAGAAGGCTGTGTGTGACGGTAGTGACCTAACGATAGTGGCCTAGTGGCCTGAGGAAACCAAACAGCTTTACTTGGTGAAAATGTACACTTGCCTTATACATGCACAACTGCGGTACACAAAAATTAACAAGGAAAAATATTTAATCTTTATCCTTAGTATACATATGACAATAAACAGGAATATTTAAATTACACATTTAAATATTACATATTAAACAACATATTTCAATATATAATACATATAAATGCCACATAGATCCTTTCATCAGCATTGATGAGTGTTGATGAATCACTGAAACAGAATTTTGAATGGATTAATACTGCAGAAACAAAGAGAATGATTTATGAAGTTGTGATTCATGAAGATTTGTCAATTGCAAAAATTGTAGTTAGTAAATTTGAAGTTTAAATCAAAGAGACTATTCAAGCATGTCTTATTGTCTTTACACCAGGGGTTGGTAACCTATGGCACATGTGCCAACACTGGCACGTAGGGTAATCGCTGGCATGTGAGCAAAAGCGAGAGAGGTGCATATATGTCATTCAGATAAAGTATGTACTTACATACAGATCTACATTTTGAGGTAATCACTCCTTATAGTAACACAGCTTGTTTTATTAAGGTAGGAGTTATAAATACTATTAACGTGTGAGAATTAAACTGCGCAAGTCAATGAAAGCGCGCAGCTCTGAGTCGCTAACAAACCATTAGCACGACCACTGCGCATCACGCGTGTAAGTTACTGACTGACAGCTTACAGCTTGTTCCGCTGTACATAGTCAATGCTATACATTTCAGAGATATCCAAACAAGTATACTGAGTCCTATTAAACATTCCACAAACATCAAAATGACTGTGATGCATGTGAAAACTCCATTCATGCATACCTGGTCACTTCATGCGTTTTCTCTGATTGGATAGCTATCCAATCGTGAAAAGATGTTAGATTTGCATATAGTGCAGGAATTGAAGATTAGATGCAGAGAAACATTTATGCTGCCAAGTGTAAATGGAACCGTCTTAACAAAACGGATAGCTATCCGATCAGTTAAAAGGCATGAATGACCAGATGTAAATAGGCCCAAATAGGTTCTGCACTATTTCATTATGCATATGTTTATGTGTATTTATATACCTATTCATAAAAATGGCACTTCCTGATAAAAAGGTTGCCCAGCCCTGCTTTACACTTTTCTGCAGCACTACCGTTCAAAATGTTGGGGTCAATAAGTTCCCTTTCAGTCGAGAACGTCTTCGAGTACCATTGAACAAGCCAATGGAATTGGCGTGCGTGACTCGCATCACACACTCTGAACGAGCTTGAGGAAAATTTTAAATTGTTGCATTCTTTCTCCATTTTTAAGAAAAATCTCAAGGAAAAATTGCTAATAACATACGATTGTTGAACATTCCGTAATTATTATACTTGTGCTGGGATCGTCTGTTTGTTGTTGTGTTTGTGTTTTGTTGTTTTTATGTATTTGTCTATTTTGAGTCTATGGTATATTGAGTTTTTGGTTTGTATATTATATGTTGTATGTTTATGTTATTGGGCCCCCTCCTAAAAGCTTTTAGTAGCTTCTTTGGGGTTCCCCATTTCACACGACCTACATATGACTATTGTTCCTTCTGAAATTGTGTGTAAATTATATAATGATGATGTGTGAAATAAAACGAAAAACGAAAAAAACTCTGCCCCCGCGGAGCGGGTACAAATACGGACCTGGATGCACGCACTTGCCTTTCGCTCCGGAGCTGATCGTTTGATGTCTCTGAAGATTGCTGTTGTTTACAACGAGCGAGTGTTTCGGTGTTCTTCTGGAAGACTCTCCCAGTGCTGGTGGTTTCTACAGCGTGAGTCCAGCGGTGATCATGTGTTTGAGTTTACAGCATGCTGAAGCAGCTTTTGTGGACGGTTTATGTTCCCATTGCGGGAATATGACTGTTGCGGTGTTGAGATTGAGACTCGCCTTCGTCCGCGAAGCGCGAGTCCCCATTACCACGGCCCGCCTTCGGGTGCCACGTGGCGTGGGTGATAGGAGGATAGTGTTGGATGTCTCGCCCGGTAACCATTCCCTGTGGGCTCCTCACTCCTCCCTTCCACCGTAGCCGTTGGAGTCCCCCGTGGAGCGTGCTGGTCCATCTGTAATGGTTGGGTCGGCCATTTCACCCGGGGCTCCCCCAGAGGACAGGACGCAGATTGCAGCATCGGAGGGTGAGCTGGCCTCTGGAGATGATGACTTGACTGCATTATCTCTCTCTGGGAGCGTAACGTTGCCCGAGCCGGATCCAGAACTGTCAGTTATGCTGAATTGGGCCGCCGAGGCTGTCGGGCTCGAGTGTAACCTTCCACCGTGTCTCGTTCAGTCTCGGTTGGATGATTGGTATCTCGGTTGGATGATTGGTATCTCGGGGCGGGCCGTGCTAGTTCTCAGCCCGCCGCCCCAGTGCCCTTCTTTCCCGAAGTGCATGGAGAGCTTACTAGGTCGTGGACGGAACCTTTTACTGCTGAAAACTGCCTGAGTGGTTCTTCCCCCCTCCCTACCCTTGAGGGAGGAGCGGTGAAGGGTTATGAGGCTATCCCTTCAGTGGAGAGGTCTGTCGCGACACAGGTGCACTTGTGTCCGACGGCCGCTGCATCTGGGGGATCCTTGTCTCCCCTCGCAGGCCTGTGAGCTCGCGTCAGTTTTGACGGTCAGAGCATACAAAGCAATTTCCCAGGTTGTGTCTTTCGGCGAAGCGGTGGAGAGCTGCACCCAACAGCTTTCCGCAACCCAGGCGCAGACGGAGGCCACCCAACACTTCCTGCCCCGGCGGCCCGCAGTTCCTCCGCCTGCTCGTCGCTGAGGGCATTCCCTGCCGCTGCCTCCGGTTCCACGGGGCCCCCGCAGCAGCCTCCACCCGGGCACCAGCGTAGAGCCAGCAGCAGGCAGGCAGCCCGGTCTGTCTCAGGCACTGCCAAGCCAGGGGGCAAATGTCAGATGTAGTGTCCCTGAGACAGGCCACCCAGGGATGGGGGGACGAGCTCTTCAGATGGTTACTGCTCCGCCACTGGCTCCCCGGCCAGTTGGGTCTTCAGGTCAACCGGGAGAGAGTAATCTCTCCCACGGGCTGAGTATCTTTTTTCCGGTATGGAGATGGACTCTCCTGGGGCATATGGCAGTCGCAGCCGCATGGGTTCCTCCATATGAAGACCACTTCAGCACTGGCTTAAGGTCGAGTCCCGAGGTGACCGTGGCAGAGCGGCACGCCTGGTATGACAACAGATCACCCCGGCCTGCCGCCAAACCCTCAGCCCGTGTTCAGACCTTTCATTCCTCCGGGCCAACCACTCCTAGAACGAGGTCCGCTAATACCGACTGAGGGGCCATGTACAAAGGGCATGCTTTAAAGGAGGCCTGGGTGACCTCCGACTGCATTGATATTCATTACCTCAAGTTGTTGCAGTTCACCTCGCTTTGAGCCACCGCTGCTCAGCGAGCTGGTACTGGTCTAAAAAGACAGCTTTGCATGTCACAACTCGCCCGTCACCTCCTCCTTGGAGTCAGAAGCTTCTGAGGTCGGTTCATTCCACTATTTCTTCCGGCCTGCTCAATCATTCAGCGACGAGCCTCACGACAGCTATGGCCAAGGAGAGTGGAGACTCCATCCCCTGGCGGCCCATATGGGCAGGGACCACTTTGGGGCCGCAGTTACATCTGTTGCCTCTCTGGATTCGTTTCTCTGCCAGTTGCGTTATTTCTGTACGAGCGGACAACCCTTGGACAGAGACTGGCTCTCAGCTGGTCCCGGGGCCCCGCAGAAATGCGTTCCCCAGTGAGCCTTCTAAAAAAAGCGGCTATGCGATTCAACTCAGTGAATTTCGTCACACTCAGGTGTTGAGCAGAGATGCTCCTGAATAGGGCTGGGATAAACGATTATTTTTTAAACGATTAATCTAGCGATTATTTTTTCGATGCATCGATTAATCTAACGATTCATTTTTACAGTCCGATTCGATTTCGATTCGGTTATCGATTATCTCCCCATTAATTGACTAATAGCAATTTATACATG